AGGGTTGGGGCAGGCATAGCACAGTCTGTGCTGCTCAGGATCAGGAACAGCCCCTTTGCCAGCGTCCTGTCAAAGCTGACAAGTGAGTTTACTCAAGGCTTGCAATATAAACATAAGACACTGTTACCTGATTTACTCATTACCTACAGTCTCTGCTGAGGGAGGATAAGGCAAATGACATGCTAGACCTTTACGACTTCTAAAAAATTGAGAAGTCACCTGGTGCTGGTAGTAGTGTATAACGAGCTGTGTTTTCAACATAAAATCTACTGTCCAGTCACTTGCTTAATGCTCTTCAATTCGAGGATGCCATTAACATAGAATTTTTGATTGAGTTCTGCTTGGTATTCATGAAAATGTGAAGCTCTGTGTAAAACATGTATTCAGTAATCTCGAATAAAGTTGCACTTTCATTTTAGGTCTACATCTATAATAATATAGAAAATATGTATCTATACTTAAAAAATAGACAATAATGTAGTGTCTTAATTAAGGCATTCAACTTTTATATAGGGTTGATCTAGGTTACATATAGATTTAATTAAAGACATTTGTAATGGATGTGAGCTGAGGTAAATGTGACAAACGTCATGGTTCAGTAATGACAATTAAAAACCCAAACTAAAAGTACAACTTCTGTCTAACTCAAAATAATTATTTTTTGGTTTTCTTGCCAAAATGAGAAAGGAGAGCTAACATTGTTTTATGGATTACATATCAATTTGTTATGTACTTCAAGACTATAGTTTTATTTTTAGCATCTTCATAACATCTAGCAACACAAAATTTTGGAATAAAAACTCAAAATGTTTTCTTGTGAAAGTTTCAAATTTTCCTAAATTATTTTCCACTTTAAAAGCATTGTTTAAATGAACTAAGAACCTATATATTCACTGGAAAACCAATCAGATTTTCACTGTCCAGGAACTCTTACAATTTATGTAGTTTTGGTTGCCAATTTCTGTTTTTCTTTATTTCTGCATTCTGTGAGTTTTTTTAAGGTGGTAAACTTTTTTCTCCTCTGTTATACTTTAAGTCTTTTGAATGATTTTTTTCAAGGTTCTTTATAGAATTATTTCAAAGTACAGATTAGAAGCAAAGGCCTGTATCTACAAAGAAGCAACTTGCAGATATCAAACTTCATCAATGTAGGTACCGAATAATGAAAACAGGTGAGTGGGAGTGCTAGTCCCATGACCTACCATGACTTGAGGAAGTGTAAGTGAAGCAGCTGGAAATGCAGGAGGTGGGGCCCTTCTAATCCCAAATCTTAATTCTTGCTGATCAAGTTGAGGTGGGCACCTTTCTTAGGGGGCATTCAAGTCTGACCCCAGGACACTGCTTTGGCTCTCACAAAGAAACTGGGAAACATACTAGCACAGAACCTTAAGTTTGGGCTACCTAAAAGGCTGTATCTGCTACGTAAAATGAAAAGTATCCCTAGGGAAATAAGTTCAATTCTGTTGAATGGAGACAGTGAGTATTTGCCATGATGTTCCCTAATAGGAATTGCTGCTGAAGTCAATGCTATGTGACAGGTATGGGAAAGGAGGACTACTCTTTTCCTTTCCCAGCTGTATCACTACATTTCAAAAGCACTTTGGGTCAAAATGCTGTCTCAAACTGGAATTTCATCTTGCCAAGGTGCCTCTGTCTTACTCTATTTTATGCAAAAGACTTTTATGAGTTGCCTTAATAATGCCCAGTAACATTCTACTAAGTCATTGGTAGGTATATGTTGACCACGCTGCTGTCTGAAAAGGCATCTGTTACTTATCATGCCAAGTTTGCGCAGACCATAATCTGCATACTGTCTTCTAATGAAAGAAGGCTTGCCTCAAAACTTTTTGTTTGCATCCTGAAGACATAGCATCACTCTGAAAACAAGCACCAGTAATTGCTTATTCAAGCTTTTAGTAATTAGTCACCTAGCTATTAATAATACCTTAATTTTTACACTGGTCAGGAGGCACTTAACAAATCCAACAGAGTTTTGTCTATTCTTTCATTAAATTAAACTCCCAGACCAATAGTACAATACGATGGACTAATTGCACATTATCCAAATTCCATGCTGTACCTTTGATGTTTTATTGATATGGACTACCTGATTTTTTTTTGTGGAGTAGAAGGCGACATGGAAATGCAGCTTAGTCATGCCATTTCTTTCCTATTCTCAGGACATAGACTGTGTAATTGACTACAGACATCTTAGCTTAAAAGCCATCGTTTAAGTTTCATCCAGTCCTAGTAATATGTGTACAGTCCCATGGGCTGCATCCAAGAATTATGCTAATTTTATTAGCAACTACTCTTGCTTTAATTAAACTGTATATATTCCCACCTGGTCACTGTTGTGCCAACACCCTTCTTTCCATTTTTATTTTAATTTATAGATAATGTGTGGTTTTGCACTTCAATTCTGATTTCCCGAATTATCCATTGTGTTTTCCACATGAAATAACGCAATTTTGAGGGTTGAATGGGGCTTCAAACTGAGTTAATGATTCTGAGAAAACCTCTGGATCAAAGCAAAGACCTGAATTTCTAAACTTGGCCAAGCCTTTTTAGGAGCAAGTATATAAAATAACTTGCTCTCTGAAAGTGCCAAGCTATATATAACACAGCTGTTCAAATACCTATAGACAAGCTCTGTATTAATGTTTACTGTGTTTATACCATGAAGCAGAGCAAATTCCTTAGTGGACTGTTAATTTACATGTTATACACTTTCAAATATTTCCAAAAACAAATGTGAAATGATTGGTAATCTGTTCAGATGCTCTCAAATTGTTATTAGCAAAATGCCTTGGGCAAAATATTATGTTGACTTTCCCTGCTCCTGACAAATTTTAGGACCTGTCCAGAGCCCAGACCTCCTGGTCACACCAGTTCTCAAAGGGTGTCTTGAACTGAGGGTAGAAAAAGGCCAAAACCCCCCACAAACACAATCTCCCCCTTCTCTGCCCAGAGCAGTGACCTAAGGTTTTCAGTGATTTTGACACTTCTGAAAGTCTCACTTAAAGAATTCTGGTCTTCTGTGGAGTCCTGCAGTTTAAAATTGCATGTTATCTATAAAATCACAGTAAGGAGATGATGCTTGTGTTTACCACTCATTCTGTGTACGTAGGTTTTAAAGTGTGTGCATTGCTCTGAAGAAATCAGACTTGGTGTGTTCCTTTTACTTCTGCATGACTGTCTGTCTCCACCTGTGTGTGGTTCTGACAAAGCCAAAGCCCTGGACAAAATATCTCATACTCCTCAAAGAAGTGTTTGGTGTGGGTTTTTTCTTTTTTTAAGAGGACCAAAGAGCAAGTTATTTAATGGTATTTGTCAAGATATCTCTTTTTTGAATAATGGTTTCCATGCCTCACAGACTCAAATATAACATGACACTTCCTCCTAAATGCCAATTACTCTGTCCAGAAGAGTTGCCCAAAAGTCTACTCCTCTAAGTTTCACACTGGACTCACATATGATATTACAATTCAGTAAAAGATATTGTGATAGAAAGATTGTGCAAAAAGCTTATGCAAGAGCTGAGTATTGTTTGTATGCGTGCAATACACTTTTCAGCAATTTACATTTACAGCTATAAAGTAATTGAATAAAGAAATGCATCGTCATTTTCTTTTTTAGCACATAGGTGAATTATTTTATCAAAATGTGAAGGGGTGTTCATATAACATCACAGTGCTTTGTGGTAGAGAAAAACAATTACAGTGAATAAGGTAGAATGGCTCTGTTATTGCAGTACATAAGACTTTGATTACATACTGCCAAGATTCATACCAGCCTAGTAGTTGTTGACAGATAAAGTAACAAAAATGAAACTCATTTATTTTTTCTTTATTGAGACCTCAAGGTAAAGCAAATTTTCAGTTCTTGTACTTACTACATTGAAGGAACAGAGACTGACAGTCAAAATGTGCTAGTCCAGAAATATAAATTAAACCTAGTTTCATATCAAAGTTTCATTTAGTCTCTGAAAAGGAGCTGCTGCTTGGATTATTTTTGATCCTAAAACAAATACACTGTAGACAACTGTAGTGTATCTTGGATGAATTAACCCCTTCGTACATTTAGCTTTCATGTATGTTCCAAGATATAGATCCATGTTTATTCAAGGAATGTAAAAAATTATTTTACTCTTTTTTCTGTTTAATAGCTATTTACTGTGTTGGCATACTCAATGATCATGTAGATGGTTTTAATAGAGTGTAGCACTTTTGCTGAAAAAGGACATATTTTGAGGAAAAAGTCGGCCCTCCCTCCTTGTGTAAAGAAAATTTTTTTCTGGCTTTTACCATGAGTTCCTCTAGGCAGCTAGATGCTGCATTGATTCTTGATAATTCTAAAAAATGACTTTTTTTGTAAACTTCTTTGTTTCCTAAAGAGCAGATAAAACTAGCTGTTGAAATAGAAAGTGCTAAAATGAGTGGGTTTATCCCATCAAAATCTTGGATTAGTTACCTAGTCCAACTGAACATAATTGCTGTTCAGATTAATGAGGCAGTAGCCTAGTACCTCCTCTAATACTGAATTCAACCAGTGTTTAATTACAAAGATGCACCAGACGTTGAAACCTCAGTGGTGAAATTTAAAACTGTTGAAACTGGAGGGGTCAGCTGTGAAACACAAATTCCTCTGCAGTATGGATAATTCACTTGTACAATGTGTTTAAAGAATAATTTGGTTTATGTTGGGATGCTGGATTGTAAAAAAGTTTGCTTATCTTTACGTCATCTAAATTCGAGAATTTTTCTCATTAGTTCCTGAGCAAAAGTAACATAAAGTGCACTTGTTTCCAGAATTACCTTTTTTGACCTTTCACAAGATGATAATTGCAGTACCAGTAGGCTTAGAGGACTTGTTAAAAAAATTAAGCTTGTAAAGTAGCAAAAAATGCCCCTTTACTTGCTGGTGTCGATTTCAAAATTAACATTTTAGTTCATGTGCTTCTAATAATCGCTGACCCTTACTTCATGTGCTTTCCACAGGAAATGAATACAGCAGAAATTACTTTGACCCGTTGATGGATGAGGAAATAAACCCAAGGCAGTGTGGGATGGAGGTCAGTGGAGAAGGTGAGGCAGAATTAAGTATGTAATTTTGGTGTCAGAATATTCTTTTCCATTCATGAAAATGAGGTGACAGAGATCACATATGCAGTTCTATTTAAATATTGAGGTTTACAATTTAAATTCTAAGCCTTAACTGCTCTGAATACGATAGGCAGTATACATAGTCTTTGATCAAGGACAGTGAGTTAATGGGCGGGTAAAAATGAGGCTGTGCTGTATTTACTCTGCTGCTGTAGCAAAATGAAGCATGGTCCAAGAGCATTTTCTACACCATGTTCTCTTTAATTAATGAAGTTAGTCCAGAACTGAGTACTAAGCTGTGGTTTTTTGCAACCCTCTTCCCATAATCCTCCTTGGAGAGCAATTTTATTACTGAGCTGAATGTGTGTATGCCTAACAGAAGGAAACCCCAGAGTGTGTAAAAGTTCTCAGTACATGAGGAGGCTTTTTTGGGTTTCTTTTTCCCAGTTTAGCTGAGATGTTTAGCTTTACTGTCTGTGGGTGATAGCAAGGAGTGGGAGGGTGTGATTCTGCAGAGCTGGAAGAACAGAAGTTATGCATAGGTAGATGAGAGATTAACCAAGAGGTATTGTCTAGCAGAGGAAATTCTCCTCTGCTGCCACGGCTTTGAGATAAAAAAACGGGTGGGAACAGGCCTGCCTGAATTTGCATGGACTTAAGTAAGATCATCATCATGGTAATGAAGTGCTTAGCTATGCACTGAGTGCTTTGGCCCAACTCCTGTTGTTAAGCACTAGCAACCAGATAGCATGCAAGATCCAGTTCTCCTGTGTTACTCTGGTAGACCTTTGCTTTTTTAAAGCTTGTGTTTATTTGCATCGCAGAGACTCTCTAAATGTGCAGTTGTAATCATATCTAAAAAGAGTTGTCCTTTATAAATGGTCTCAAAGTAGTTAACTTCTGAAATTAATATGAAACTTTGAACACATTTGGAGGTTTTAAACTTTTGAGGTAAAACTTGTGTAACTGAAAATGGCAGACTCTAATGTATATCAGTAACTTGAATTTGTGTTCTGGTGAAAAAATATTAAGGGTGAATTATATCTAATCCCTATAATTTCCCCATTCATTGTGTAGGACTGCAGTGTAATATCTTGAAGACAACTTCTGGCTCAGAGTTTTCAAATGAAAGATTTTTTTCCTGTCGGTCCTGCTTTGGTTCATCTTATGAATAGGCTTTATGAGTCATGATCTGCTTCATAAGCAGAGAATGAAAAGGAGATTAGATTTCTGTATCTGTACATGTGTGCCTAAAATCATGTATGGACAGAGTGGTGACATAAGGGATATATGGAAGTATGGTTCTCTTGGGAGAACATGTTCTCTTGACTGTGTTGAAGAGGATGAGTGATACACAACCTTAAATGTTGATTTTTGTATTGTGTGGTAGGGGTTTATCTATTTATTTTCAAATTTTGAACAGAGGAAGTCACTTAGGAAGTCCATCTTGTTCCAGTGTTCAGAGTGGAGAGGTGGTTTTAGGCTATTGCATATCATGCTAAACTTGGGATCTGTGTGTGTGAATAGCTATTATTTGGTGTTCCTCCTTTTTCTCCCTGGCAAAAGTGTCCCTCAAAAGTTGGGATATTTGCTTATTAAAATGTCTATTAGCAATGGTTCCAGCCTCAGGTTGGTCATGTTGACATCTGTAGAGCAGTTAGAATGCTGTATTTACCAGTACCTTTTGCAAGAGTGAGTATTCTACCTTGGAGATATTCAAAAGCTGCCTGGATGTGGTCCTGGGGAACTTGGCTCTAGGTGGCTCTGTTTGAGCAGGGAGGATTGGGCCAGGTGGATTCCAGAGGTGCCTTCCCACCTCAGCCAGTCTGATTTGGTGATACTCACAAGCCAGGCTCACTGACTGGCTTTGCTTTCCTTGCAGAAGTGTTAATTAAGTGGAACTACATTTGTATGTAGTGGGTACAGTTAAAAGAACAGTCAGAACTGAAGTCTGGTTCTGCATAGTAATCCCTTGATTGGAAACTATGTCAGTTTGCCTCCTCTTTCCAGATAGCAGCTTGTCACGAGCAAGAGTCAAACCCGGGAAAAGATGAAGAAATCAGAGCACACTTTAAAGTTACACTCTTCTTGGATGTAAGCAAGTCAGGCTCAATACCCAAAATGAATAGCTGGTGGAAAGCAAATCTTCAGCCACTAACTCTACTTTAAAGGGTTATTCCATGAAAAATGAAGATGTTGGCAATTATCTTTTTTATATTTGATAAATTAGATTTGTTCTGGAAACTTGTCTAAGTTGATTATGCTCTGAGAAAAAACAAGACCTTGATATGGATTTGAATGCACCCCTTGCCAAGGGTACATTTCAATGCTACATACTAAAAGAAATGTCAAAGATTATGTACTTTCAGAAGAGGTTTGCAGAAGCCACCATCTTTGAATGCTCAGTGTAACTGAAAAACTTGGCTCTGAAATTTCATGGTAAACAAAATTTATTCTTTGAGACTCTATTGAACACTTAAAAAGAGCCAGCCAAGGCTGCTTGTAGCTGTACTTCAATCCACCTGCTTTGTATATATTTCTTTGGCCTTCTCTCTGCCTGTCTTCACTGACAACTCAGAGAAATCAGTCTGGGAGGTCTGGAGAGAGGACAGTTCCAATTGCTCATTTCTCCCTTGACTATAGACACCATAAGTGATTCTTTTCTTTTTTTTTTTTCTGTCTTATGGAAAAAGGTAAGTATGTGTGTCCTTTGCTGCTTTTTATAATCTACAGATATTACTGGGAATTTGAATGACTGATCAGCCACAAAATCAAAATTCATAGTGTGCTGTAATGACTACTTTTACTAGATAATGTGTTAGTATTATGGACAGAAAGGTGACATTTCTAATGAAGATCCAAAATCACATTAGAATAGAAATTAGGCACTTTGATTTTTATTAAGAGTCAAATAGAATTGATCTGTCGATCTGAATATAAACAATCATTTCAGCTACTCTATTAGCTGAATGAATAAACCAGTTTCAGTCCAGATCAACATGTAATATTGCTCACCATTTAAAAGTATTCAATTACGTTTTTTTAATTTGAAATTGTAGCAGTGGTGACTAATTTTATTCTGAACTGTGAAACTAACACTGTGAATACTATCTTTAAGTGTCAAATGGCTTCCTAACTTTTGTATTTTTCATATCTTAGAGTTTAGAATTATATTGCCTCAAGTACTGCTGGAAGAAACAATAGATGTTTCACTGTTGTTTTTTTAAGATCCTGTGAAATTTGATGAGCAAATCCTGTACTCTAAATTAATGAAGCTTCTAGATGAAGAACACAAGATGCTGGACTTCCAAGGTAAATAACAAAATCAATTGCATAAAGAAAAATAAAACTCTTTTGAGTCTGCATATGGGGAGGAGAATGGGTAATCCATCCCCTTGAACTCAGAAGTCAAAGGGACACTGATTTTAATTCAAGCCTTTCAGATCTTTTTCTCCAAATGTTTTTGTTTTGAGTCATACTTATGTGGTTTGAAGTGTAACTTAAGGGGTTGGCTTTCTCTGGGTTGCTTCAGTGCATGTTGAATTTCTTTATGAAAGAATACTGGTAATATCATTGCTTATGCACTCAAATCTAGTAATCTGAATCCTTATTTAAGCTCATAAATGCCTAGGCCATTTGTCAGCTGCACAGGACACATCACACATTTAATATTATTTATATAACCTTATATATATTTAATTATATATTTAGTTATATATATCTATATAACTAGTAGATGAGTAACAAAATGTTTTCTGTGGCTTTGTTAGAAAATACAAATTGTTGTTTTATCTACAGTAAAGCAATGAAGTATAGGAGAAGAGATTTCTTCACCTCAAGCCAACAGACTTGCTTTGGCTTCACATATTTTTTGAGGCATTATTTAAAACCTAGTTGATTCACAAGACCATTCCCAACAGAGCCTTTATGCAAGGTCCATGTGCGCTGCTCTCCTCTGGTTCATCCCAGGAGAAGTGACATTTGTACAAGCCCCAGCTCAGAGCTGTCCCTGTATTTTTGCATTCTCCCCCTCTCCTTTGTCAGCAGAGGTCTTTTGTGCAAAAAGTGTTTTCTATTCCTTGTATCTGCATGAAATGTCCTGTTTTATATTGGCTATACACAGGGCCTACTCTGTCAGAGAGACCGAACAGGTGGTTGCCTATGGCACTAGAGCTCCAGGAGCCGCAACATGTTTTGTGACTAGTTTATAAGCAACTTTTTGCCAGGAAAGGCAAACATCTTCATCAGCCTAGGGTTTCAAAACATCTTGAACTTTCACTGGTCTCAAGTTGTCTTGGACAACTGACTTAGACTTGACCGTTTCTTTTTGCATGGCTGAAGTTAAGTGAAGTAAATTGCTCTGTGTCTATTTGACCACTGTTAAAAGCAAGGTAACTAGAGAGTGAAGGGGAAGCCTTCTCGATCCATTAGTGGTTATTGTCTCCTTTAGCTAGTTGCCCTAAAACATTTTATTATATTAGAAGTATAGCAGCATACCCAGTGTGCTCTGTGGACAGTGAACTTATACTGAGGCTGCTGAGGTTGCTGAGCTCAGTGCTCACTGATTCAATTCAGGGTCAAGCAAATGCATCAATATGTGTGTCTCACACTCCATGTGCACATCAGAGATCCCTGTGTAGGCATGAGGGCAGAAATGACAGACCACAGTTGTGTATCTCAAGTGGTGCCTTAGTGCTTTTCTTTCTTAAAAATGACGTAATGGGTATCAGAGATAGCCATGTGGGTGAAGTTCTAGCTGATTTTTTTACTTTTCTTTGTTTGGGTGAATAAAATTCAGAAAAGAGCAAGATTTTCCTGAGGAAGTGAGGCTTGTGCAGTTTCCACCTCTGTGTGCATATATCAGGCTGTATTTATTTCTACCTGTGTTTTTCCCTCCTAATTTTTGAACCTGTTGTTCAATACCAAACCTTTTTTAACAGACAGCAAGTCTCACAGGTATGACTTCCCTACCAGTTTTATGGAAGTGGGCAGTTGAGCAGAGCAGACAAGCATTATTAATGTCTCCACTGAGGGAAAAGCTAATATGGGAGTTTGACCCTTATTAGACATCAGAAAATCCATAGAAAACTAGGATTCGCTTGCTTCATCTCTTACAGAACTGCTTCGTTTCTTCATTTGACCACTGAGCTGAAAAATCATATAGTCATAGAGTCCTAATTAATAGATGATCCCCAAAGGAAAGGAAAGAACATGGCTCAGAATTCATATAATTTTATATTTAAAACATTTTGTCTCTGAGTAACCTGTTGGTCACTCTTGTGGTGTGTGTTAGCTCATATTATAAGGCAACTTGAAAGGCAATATTGATTGTTTGTATTTAAAGATGTAGACTTTATATTTTTTTACCTAGGGATAAAAGGTCTGAAACAATGTAAGACTGTGATGCATGCTCATTTTAAATGATGCTAGGTGAATGCCATAAAAATTATTTCTGTTATATTATTCTTTGTCAAGAACTGAAAAATTGAAGTGCTATGTTTTGCAGAATCTTAGTTGTCTGTGGAGCCTTCGACAATGGACTTTTTTAGCTACAATTTACAGAGTTTTCTGGAATCAAGTAGCCAAAATTCTTTTTCCATGTGGAGTTTATAGCCATTTTATGGATTCAAACCCATGCTGAGATGCAGTCTATTGGTGAACCTACCCTTTAAGTTATCATCTCAGTATATAAACTGCTGCTATCTAATGGACAAATGCAGGAGTAAATGAAGTTACAAGCAGCTAAGCTAATACCTGAGACATTGTTTTAATTATAGCACAGCATCTGCAAATACAGCCTGTGCTGAGAAGAAGTGATTTAAACTACATGGAAAGTGCAACTTGCAGCGTTAAATACAGCTGTGGCAATGAAAACTTTTGATGACCATGCTAACTTGAAGCTACAAGTTTTTTATTAGTTTATCAATCTATCAATGAATTGCATTATAAATTTTCAGCTATTTCATCCTATGTGTACAAAATAATAAAATTTTTAACTCTGTGGCTACTTTTGTACAGCAAGGAGGTGATTGCTCTGATTTGGACAAGCATTACTCTGGGTTGTCAGCTTGAGACTCTGACCTGCGGGTGAGTTCAAGCCAGACCAATCTGATGCTGACCAAGGTTGAGAAGTTTCTTTGCAAAGCCAGTGTGAAAGGAGTAGACTGTGTGAACTAACCCTGTTCTCTCCCTGTTTCTGATTCAGGCAAATGAACAGTTTTTCCAGCTGTGTTTAAATGAGCATATATATTTTAAATGAAATATTCTTCAAATCTGAATTGTAATTTCTCTCTATATTTTTAGCAGTTGCTTCCTTTGAAAAGGCTTTTGAAAGTGTTCTCTGTCCTCTTTTTCCACAAAACATGTGCTAATGAGCCCAGTGTCTTCCACCAAAACTAAGTTCACTTGATATGACTCCCTAAAAACTAAGAAACACAAAAAAGAAAAAGGATATTTTGATGAATTGCCTCATGGTCGTTTCTCTGAACCAAGTGTTTTTATTCTTTTTTGGTATGTAAGGACTGTGTTTTCACACCCAGAGGATCCTGAGATAGGAATCTACTGACTTCCCAGGATGTAAACTTGCCCTGCTCCTGCGAAAGCAGTAAAGCAGCTGATTTATACCAGCTGAGCATATGGCCTGTTGTGTAAAATACAGCGTTGAGGGGAAGAAGCAGTGCTCCATCTTCTTCTTTTGGCAATGTTTCCTTTCTAGCGCTTCCTGGGCTTTCTCTCTCCTAGCCAAACTCTTAATGTTACAGTAAATTTAAATGTAAATATTGTTTTGTTTTTGCAGTTAATAGTTGTATGTCAAATCACTTTTCATTAGGCTTGTAAAATGCTACATGAAGAGATGTGTACCCTAAGGTAATGGTTTGGTTGTTTATATCTACTGTACACTTCCCCCAACATGATTTTGAATTGTATCCTGTTGTAATTAAATAAAAAACCCACCCTACTTCCTGTGTGTTGGTGGCACAAAGGTGATTTAAGTACTCAGGAGGCTCAACAATTAAATTCATTAAATAGCAAGTAGTGAACAAAACTGAAAATGTTAATAGCCTTAGTTTTATCTTTCCTTTTCTGGTCTTCATTAGAGAATGAAAGACTTCAAAGGGGAGTGAGAAGAAAACCCTCTCTTTTAAATGCTTTCATGTCTTAGGATGGACAAAGAGGAGCAAATAACTAGATACGGCAATTTATTGAAAAGACAGGCAAAGAGAATGACCAAAGCTTATGCACAGAAATATGAAACAAGAAAGATATTCTGATGTGGACAATTTCTTAGTGATCCTGACACGGAGAAATGAATAAAAATAGTTGTCATTATTATTTATGACCCAAATTAATATTAGTACTGTAGCAGATATCAGTGAGAAGATCTTTTTTTTGGTGGTTGTTTTTGTTTTTCATGTAGCATGATTAATTAAACTGAAAAAAGGACAAAGTTTATCTTTATGGTTGACTTTATGAATTGGATTCATTTTTATTTATGTGTGGCACATACCCTTTTGTTCTGTATACATCACAGCAGTGAAATCAGGGGAACAATGTGGGTGAGAGCAGAACTGGACCCAATTAATTAGGCAGGAGCTGCATTCACACACCTAGGAGGGGAATTTGATCCTTTGGGGTGAGTTGAGAGGAAAATGAAATGCTTGGTGTGGCTCCACCTAAAACTCCCTTTCAATTGCAGTTGTTACTCCTCTTCCTCAGGAGCCACAGCCAATGTTGTTTGAAAGCCCAGTCCTTCAGGATTTACAGGGAAGCAAAAAAACCATGGAAATGTCGAGCATGCATTTTAAAAAGTATTTAAGGAACAAGCTGCATGTGCTAAATTTGTACCTGTGTGCAGATGTTGCACTTGAAGAGAGTTTTCCTGGTACTGCACTTGGCACCCACCAGATGGTTTACTGCTGCTATTTATTACTGTTCATTTTATGGCATGAACTGTTGTCTTCAAATGTTGCTGGGCCAAACATGTTAACTGAGAAGGTACTCAGTTAACCAGTGAATGAACTCCCATTTGCTAAGAGATAATCTGCCACTTTTGTTTCAAGCAGCCTGTGTCGTCAGGGAAGATTTTCCAGACTCTGTGATGCCTGTCAACTCCAGTAAGGCATGTGACCTTCAAATGGAACTTGAAGATGAAGAGATTCCTTCATATATTGAACAGTTTGAGAGAGATGTTCAGGATGACATAATTCTGCTTGGCAGCTTTTCACTGGAACAGGTCAGAGTTAAGGACTATAAGACAATTTTATCGCTTGCTTCATAACATGATGCTGGCTTGTTAACCTTGTACACCCCAATTCTATTTCTCTGCCTGGTGATACATATATTGAAAGGGGAAAAGATAACCATTTTTGCTGGCATGCTTTATGTGACTGGCACTTTGCTAAGCTAACAGCAGGACCTTTATCTTTGTCTCCATTTCAATGTGAATAAAAATAGATTGCCTTTGTGGCTCCTTTCCTAAATAGTGGAGTATCTCTGACTGCTCTGTAGCAATATTGCAATTGAGTTTCAGTCAAGACCCTAAGCTTAGGACATCTCTCTCTGCCAAATCTAACAGAGGCCTATTCATCTATCAGTGAGGAAGTTCAAATTGGAGCCCAGGGAGGATTTATGTAGCAATGTTCATTGTACAGAGCATACGATTATTCCCCTATTATAAATCTGTTATGTTTTTCAGGGTGGCAAAGGTTCCTAATGTTTTCTTTTTGTTATTTCATAGTGTAAAGAGACAGGGTCAGGTTCATTTCGACAAAGGTACAAGTTTTCAGGCCTGAAATGATACTTGTGGGCACCTAACTACCATTTGTCCCTTTGAAAAATCTCATACTAAGACTAGAGGACAGGAAGAGAGATTAATTGATGAATCTATCATTTTTAATTAGCAACATGAGAACAGCGCACTGGCTCTGATGGGCTTAAAATAGGCTATCCAGTGACTGATTGTGATATAAGCTTTCTTTTATTTTCAGAGGAAGTTTTTAGATTTTTTTTTCACTGCAGGACTAAACCTCATCATTGCCTTCTGAATGTTGGTGAGGAACACAATTCTCTTCCTTACTGTTTTCCACTAAATCCTTGTGTGGCTGTATTCCATTCCTTCTGACTTTTTTTACTGCTGTATGCATCATGCATGGAAGATGATATGGGGAATATTGTTCAAAGAACATGAAATGAGAGGGAAATGAAGGAACAAGACTCAAATGGTACTAAGAACATCATTTGCCCCGGGGAACTGATGGAGTATGAACCTGGGAATAGGTGAACAGGGAGTGCTGCACCTTTCTGGAAGACTTTATAATAAGTTGGGAGTTCACACTTTAGCTACATTTGGGCTACTCAAATGCCCCCAAGCTTCATAAGGCTCTGTGACACCTGAAGGAACACAATAGATGTGTCAATACTTTGTTTAACCTCCCTCTAAACATGGTCACTGTGAGACTGATCATCTGACTTGGACTCTTTTTGGAGGTGTTCAGCAAAGTTGGTTTCCTAGACAGAAGCAATCTGTCTGGTTATCCCAAAACCACATTCTGCTTTTTAACTGACAACTACATATGTGAATTCATGTGTAATACAATACAATACTGCTTTTCTTCCTTATATTATTCCAAAAGAAAGAAAATCCTCATTTAATGTGATGGGTGGAGCTGATCTCCTGTGACTTTTCAGAGAGGGACTCAACACTTCATACTGCAAGGAAGAGGTTTTGAATACCTGTGTTTTCTGTCGATTCCTCTCATGCATCTCCAACTTCAGCTGTCCATGCCCTACTAAGGAATTTTGGTCACACTGATATGGTATCAGCTGTCACATCTGCATTGTATAATGCAGAGGGTAAGGAGAGGACCACTTTAAAATCTACATCTGTAAAATCCATATTGTCTTCTAGATTAGTGATTTATGCATCCATCCTTTACTTGGAAGCCTACAGAAATGGTACATTCAGCCCCTTTGAAGAGAAAATGGAAGAGGTAACATTGGAAGTAGAGGTTGCAAACATGCACATATGCCATATTGTTATTCAAAGAGATCTAACAATAATGTGAGCATACTAATTCTCGTTTAATTGATCTTCTTTATTCTTTAATGGATATCTTTACTCTTTGATCTGTGAATATACTCCTGCACCACTGCAGTGTTGCTGCCTTTCCACAACAGCTACAGGTTCAGTGTTAGACTGCCGCCATGGTCTTCAGAACCTGTAGTTGCCATCTTTGGGATGCTTCCAGCTTTTGTTGCTTGAATCTATGTTTATTGGTTTGAAAAAGTCTTTAATTTGCTGTGTGGCATTTACTTATTCGGTCGAAAAAAACCCTTCCCTTATCTCTGCAGGTATAGCGAGTAACAGATGTACTTTGGCCAACATAATTTATGATTAGTTAATTTAATCTGCCATAATGACATAAAGTGAGCCTGAAACAAGCTTCTATCAATTTTGCCATTGGAGGTAGCATAATATTTTCAAATGTCTACCAAACTGAGCAATTAACCCTTGGGCTGAGTGAAGGAGTCTAATAGACATCTCTCTCATATTCCTTTGCTTTGACAAAATGAAAACAAAACACAGGAGGCCAAGGGTTAAAAATAGCAAGCGAGAATTTACAGTAAATGAGACTGGTTTTATGAGTGAGGCTCAGAAACACACTTGAGTTGCTGCTGTTTCTTTTTAGGCTGCCAAAAACTCTCCAATGAGGCATCTGATTTACACAGAGCTTTGCTGGCAGTATTGGCATGAAGAGGATAGCTGCATATCAACTATCTATCCCTTATTTAATTGTTTTTCTTCTCGGATTTGTAGCACTAAAAAAAAGGGTGCATGAGCATTTTGGTGCATGAGATTACCATGATTCAAAGTTTTTGAAAGAGCAGATGTACTTTTCAGAATGATATTTTTTGAAAAGCGTTTCTCCTAGATTTTAGCTCTGGAACTTTAGACTATGTTTTTTCTTACTTCATGTCCTGTTTTGTGAATGCAAAAGTTGATAGTTGAGGTTGGCAAGAAATACATGAGGGGAGATCTGATAGATTCTTGTAAAGAAAGCATTAAGCAGATGTCAAAGTTCTGTTAACAAGCACACTAAGGAATATTAAATTTGGAACGCAGTGCTGTTTTGTGTGGCCTGCCATGTAGCCCTAAGGATTTCAAAGGCCCCAATGACATTTGATTTTAATGAAGAAAACTAAACACTGTTGCAAGAAAATCATAACTTTGGAACTGTGTTGTGGTAGAAACTGAGCAGGTACAACCAAGGCTGGGTATGCAGAGAGTCGCAGAAAACCATCTGTCATGAGACAATGGAGGGACACATTTCTTCATAGCCTTCGTCCTCTACAGGTTTTGAGTGCTAGATTTAGCCCTCTGTGCAGGCCATAGTACCTTTCAGGACTTGACCATCACAACTATATTATCAATTTTGATCCATGACCTCAATATGAGTTACTCAAGAGCCACTGAAAGTAAAGTGCAAGTTTTGCTCTTCAGTACCAGCAGTTGAGTTATAGTAGTAAGAAATGAGCTATTTGTTTTAGGTGAATAGTAATAAAATGTTGTCTTTCATCAAAAGATTTAGCTTTTGGTTAAACAAAGGTTAATGCCTCAGGGTATTAGACCTAATATTCTTACAGGGTCATTATCATCACTGCTCTGCCTCCTTGCCAAGTCACAGAGAGATCAATTTATATGATGATGGAGTGATCAGTTTTCCTTTGGTTAATGGTGGGTAGCACATGGGTAAAATTTGGTCCTATGTAAGATGATGACAAATTTACTCTCCAATCATGCATTTCATTAGTGGGATCAGACCTAAGTGATATTAAATACCAATGCACATTTGCTTACATGTTCTACCCCATTGGATAATACTGTCATAAAATCATATAATGGAATCATAGAATGGTTTGGATAGGAAGGGAACATAAAAATTGCTTATATCCTGATGACATCTGTAGACCTCCTCTCATCAAAGCTGTAGTCTATTAAGCATTGTACAATCCTTTCTGATAGCTTTTCACGAGTATATTCTTTGCAGGAATGTGTGCATCTAAAAGCAATGCAGAGTTGAAGCTGACTTTTCCTCAGCTGAAACCCAACTTCTTTTTGACATTTGCCAAAATTTTAAATGACTGACATGTGCAAAAGAGTCTTCTTTTAAAACTGAGAATTACTGGCCAAGAATACAAAAGCTGGCAATGCTTCATTTACGCCATGTCTTAAAAGTGGGTGACTTCAATTTAGGTAAGATACCTATATAGCACACTCATTATATGAGTGTCAAAGCATCTCTACATTTGGTTAGTATAATGGTTTCCATTTCATTTATGTGACAGCATAGGAATTATGGGTATCTTTATTTTATAGAGAAAGAACAAGGGCACAAATAGACTGAAATCTATACCTGTCAGAAATGCTTTGCACCTAATTTTTTCAAAAATCTATCATTAGGCTAAACTCAGGGAATTCAGTATAGTTCTGCCAGGTAGCCAGCTCTTGGACTGGTGAAAAAGAATTTCACTGAAACTTACATTTGAAGGGAGAAAATGAGACCTTCCCAAAGGTTGGGATATTGGATTTCTGGCCCTTGGACTTCTGATACCCTGCTTAGTGAGTGCCCATGGTCCTCTGATGTGCATCAGCAACCACACAGCAGACCCAAAGTCTGATGAAGATGCCATTATATATAGCTAGGAGACTTCTCTACCCAGTAGTCTGGCAACCTGAGATTTCTGAATGTCTTTATTTTATCAGGCTTGCTTCTCCTTCCTCAGGGAGGGCCCTCAGAAAGGACCCTACCTCATTGCTTCTGGACATTCAGATATACACATTTTGTTTGTTTGGGGGTTGGTTTTTTTTTTTGGTTGGGGTTTTTTTTTTTTGTTTTTTTTTAAGAAGCAGGGGTATAGAAGGAGAAGCATGGAAACGAATGCCAACCTAAGCAGAACTGTGAAACAGATATTTTATATGTTTGCAAATGATCTGTCACTGTGCTGTCACAATACCCACAATATTGTTATGGCTGCTCTTTTAAATTGTAATTCTCTTTTGATTGCTTTGTTCAGGGGTTATATGGGTTTTTAGTTAAAAATATTTAAATGGAAATAATGAAAATCTATGTTTCTTATGTTTTTCACTAAAAATGTATTCACTTAGTTTTTACTCTGTTCTTTCATGCTTTAAGATCAGAAGGGCAATTAAACAACTGAAGTAATTCTTGATATTCTATTGAGCTGGAACAATGAATCCTACAGCTACTGTAAATGATGATACTGCATTTGCTGCTGCTTAAGGTAATCTGACTGGTCAGCTCTCTGGCTCATTATCCTAATATAAACTCCAGTAAGGAAGTCTGTTTCTATGGTTCAATAAACGGAGGCAATTGGAAAGATTCTTCAAAGAGAATCAGTGATTGCCAAGTCCTAATGAAGTCTAAGTGGCTTCATCGAGTACTGACCACCTGTTAAAAGATGCAGAACTCATAGGAGGATTGGAAGGGAAAGAATATTTTCTGATGAATAGAGACACAAACCTGCCAAATATAAATACAATGCAAAGAAATCTTTAGTTGCTGATGTATTCTCCAGAATTAATTTTTTTTTCCCAGGGTTGTTTTATTTGTATTTTTAATACATTTGAAGCCAAACTGTAGTCACAGGTGTAGGTAAGCCTATTGCTGGTTAGCTTTTATGACAGGAGACTCCTTATCAGTGTTAATAGACTACACAGATTTTGAGCTGCAGGTAAATGAATTGCTCTAAATGCTGTAACATTTTGCTTCTGCAATCTTACAGGAGAGCTGAATTTGTTGAGCAGAACCCATGATGGATAGTATTTACTTCATAGTAAAGACCTTTACTTCATAGAACAGATTAATTCAGGTGGGGAAGAACCAGACATCTAGAGGCTTTCTAGTCCAACCTCCTGCTCAAAGTGGGGCTAACTTTGAGGTATATTTAGCTTTCCATGTGTAATCTGAGCTTTTAAGGGCTTTGGAGTTGTTTACAGCAGTTTGTTGGTATGAAACATAATCAGGTTATCTGTAAGTTGAGAGATGTAGAAATACTGGGAAGGAGAGTTCATTACATGTGCATTACATGCACACCTATTTATGTAGTACAAAGGTGGAAAATCATCATTGTTGTTCAACCTGCCAGCAACCAGTTAGCAGAGTTGGTTTCTGTCATTACTGTGCTAAGTCCTTAGCCAAGATGCAACTTCCAGGACTAGGCAGTTATGATGAGAACATATACTAAAGTTAATATATTCACTCAAAGATGTGTTAGCATAGTATGTTGTTATTATGCAATTGCTCATATTAGCATTGAAATCAGAGTAGGATTTTAACTGATTATGTGAAACAAGTCCTACCTATACCTTTCAGCAGAGAAATGGAGCAGGATGTGGGCTTGCAGGAGGAGATCTGTTCTCTACAGAGAAAAATCATTAGGCATGGCAACTCATCATTGCCACTGGTGCATTTAAGATAATCATATAGTAAACTGTACTTAAAGTGTTGTTTTCCTCTCTGTAATTTTCATATACTAATTGTAATTGAATGTCTCTTTTAATTATGAAGTGTTCAAATGTGTCTGCACACTTGAAACAGAAGATGATGTGAAAGCCAGTCCAAATGGAAATTATTGGATAAAGTTAAAATCTGTGCTTTTAAATTACAATTACAATGGAGGCAAATTTGTGAGGCAATGCTTTATTGACAGTCAGAAGAAAGAATGGGGACTCAGAAAGATGAGATAGACTATAATCTCCGACTTGAAGGAGAAGTTTTTCTTGGGCTGTAACAAGCAAATTAGTTGTTTTGACTCAGTTTTCCCGATCTGCAAAACAGACCTAAAATTGGATATCTGCTTTGGGGAAGAGTAAGAGGATTAAAGGAGTAAAGTTTCACGGGGCACTTTGAAAAGGCTATGAAAATAATAAAAACATTCTGTGCTGAAATTGACAAACATTTTTAAATTG